CTGATGCTCGCCATCTTGTTTCCTCTGTTTCTTCTGACCAAGCATGACCAGCCCGGCCCTTCACAGAGTGGCTACTCCCTGCCCCTTCTGCATCCTCTCCCATCCTTAGCAGCCACTCCAGGCCTCGCCATACTCACCCTGTGCCTCCCCAGTCTCTCTCTCTCTCTCACACACACAACTGTCTCACACGCTTCCCCATCCGGTAGCAGCCACCAGATGCCACCTGTACTCACCCATGTCTCCCCACCACTCATGCGCCCCCTCCCTCCCTCCCTCCCTCCCTCCCACACCAGGGAGCCGGTCCTTACTTGCCTGCCAGCCTTCTTGCAAATTCCCCGCACATTTCAACTTCCTGCCAGCTGCCCCATTGGTTGTTGGACGCTGGCAGGAAGTTGCACAGAGCTGCTTGCTTAACGACGTACGACCCTCGCTTAATAACGGCAACGGGGAGGGCTGGGGTTGCCACTGCCAAGACCACATGATGCCAGGCTCCGCGGCTGGATCCTTAGCAACTGAAATCCCACTCCCCACGACCGGCATCGCCCAAGGGCTGCCTGTGTAGGGTGTAACCTCGGTTTATTCTTACTTCATGCTCCTAAACAGAGACCTGGGATAGTTATCACGAAAGCTGGGATTCCTTCTAGAGGTTCGCACGTTGGCATGGGGCATCCAGAACCATCTCAAACCAGGAATAATTTGTTTTCAGGTGAAGAGGGAATTTGGTTGCCCGTAAACTGGCTTCAATATCAACCTATTTTTTCAATTCCTATTTTATGCACAGGAAAGCCTGACTATTATAAAGGCAAAGATTCCGACTTATTCTTCGATTTCTTCCTAAAGACGGCGATGAAGAGGCAACTCTGTTGGTGTTACTTATTTTTTCTAGAGTGTCTTGTTCTGTGATCTTTCAGGGAAAGCAGCGATTAATATTTAAAATTAAGATGAGTATCAAGAATAAAAGTGTCCTGGATGCTTAATTATGAAAAATGCTTAGGCATGGCACCATCTGTGTTTTAGTCCCTCTTCTGGGGGCTGAAGGGTTTGCTGGTTTGTTAAAATTATTATGAAACTAATTTATTTTTTTAAAAAAATTATGCACCTTTTACTTGCTAGGCTTAACCCTCACCTAAAACCTATGTGCATCTTGATGTTTTACTAAATTTAGATGCTGCTGCACGAGGGCACTAAAGACCTTTCCCAGTGCTGGCTAAGGAGGTCCTGAAGTTTCCCCTCTTAAAAAGGACTTTGAAATAGCTAAAACTGGAAGGGATTATTTCTCAATATTTTTGTTGATAAGATCATTTTAGTTTGATAGTGTTCTTATAGGAAGATCTAGATTGGAGTTCTAGATTGGAAAACGTACATACTTTGTTCTTTTGGGACGGAGGTCTTTTCTCCAGTGTCACTATGCTCAGAATACTTTATGTTTCCATCAAACACAGAGATTTTCATGAGTATTAAATAAAAATAGTTTAATTGCACCACAATCCCCAAGTATTAAACTTTATATAACAAATACACAGGTACGGACTTCCCATGAGTACGCTTAAAAAAAACACACACACCATGCCTTCCGTGTCTTCATTTTTATTACAAAATGTGCACATTTATTTCTTGTTAACATTCTACAACAGGGTTTAGATGTACATGTATTGTACTACTCATATTCCTACAGTGGCAGTAATAAGAGTAGCTTGACTCTCTAAGCCATCTTGCACCAGATTAGATGCCATTTTAAAAAATAGAAAGAAAGAAAGAAAAACTACAACGGTTTGCAGCATTTTTGTACATCTATAAGCTTTCTGGAACTTCAGTGCAAAATGTCACGATTAATGCTGGCATATGTCTTCTATCGGTACTTAAAAGCATCTAGCCAGACAGTAATTTAATATTATTTTGACTATCATGAGAAGTAGGAGTGTTTTGGTGTTGTTTTTTTTGGCTACTGTTTATTTCTCCCTTTATAGTGTGTTTTGCCTTTTTTTTTCCAAAAAAAGAAAAAAGAGGGGGGAATACCAACTTCTCCCTCTCTCATATTGTGCACTTGTATTTTTTTTCTCCGTGGTGACTTTTAAAGGCTGTGGCAAATTTACTCTTTGTTCAAATCATTTTTCTGCGAATTTTCTGTCCTTCACAGAACCCTCTCTCTCTCCCTCCGCTTTTCACGCTGTGAATAGTAGGAATTGTGGCTCCTGAAAAATCTACAGGTCCTTCTAAGTAGTCATGCTAATAAAGTTCCAATCTTACTTTGGTCTTGGAACCAGAGAAGAAAAATCCTTCATATAAATGACACTCAATTGTCATAATTGTGACCTGGTCCATGTTTCGAGCAGGCACCTCACTGGGAGTGTGACTGAGCCTCTCTTACTGGTTACCTCATCAGCCTTCGCTTTCACTTCCATCTTCATTTCCAGTCAAGAACTGGCAGGATCAATTAATTCCCACCTTTGACTGAGAAGCCCAAACTTTTCTCTGAATTACCGCCTGGATGTTCACTGTCTCAGTAAATTTGTCAAAGGAATAAATGTATCATAGGCAGTGGTTAAATAATACTTTTTTTTTGCACAAGAAAAGCTGTTATAAAAAGTATAGTTCTTGAATTTAAAATGAAGGAATCTGATAATTCCTCTCAGGCTAGACTAGACTCCATGTGCCGGTCCATTATGGAGAGAGGTATTTTTACCACCACCCCCAATGGGGAGAGCCTGGAAGCAATGTTGGTTGCCCCATTCCTCACAGTGGCCCCATAGGAAGCCAGCATCTGAGACCCCTAACAGATTGCACGAAGCCTCCAACTGCCCCTTGGATGGATTCCCCTTGAAGTGCAACGGTCAAAAGTGCCCCCTCACGCTGAGAATGACATCGGATGAGTTTCCCAGAGCAGGGACTGTGGAACTCAAGAGCTGACGCTGTGGAAAGTCATAGTAACCAAAAAGCTCGCCTTTCCCTCCCCCCCCCTTCCCATCCCTCCAAGACCTCCGCTGTGCAAGTTGGAAGGACAATAAACGCGGTTTCCCTATTGCTGTTTTCTTTGGATTGTTCTGTGACTCAAATGACATTTGGAAAACAACTACCAGAGTATTTGCTGAATGACTTCTTCGCTTCACCTCGGCGAGTGGAAAAACACAGTCTCCAAAGGTAGGCTTTTAATTAAACAAAAGCTTATTTGCATTATAGGCATCTCAGTGCAAAGCTGACAAGTCTTGATTCCTACGCGGCAACCTTGGGAGACGGGTTGCTGCAGAATTGCTCACGTTGCCCACTGATTGAAGGGAGAGCTGCTTGAGGTTAAATTATATTTTCAAAGAGTTGCATGGAACGCATAATGTTTTCATCCTACAGACAAACAAAAAAACAAAACAACTCATACAAACTCTTAATTATTAGGAAAAGATATTTGAAGCCAAATTCTTAACCCCACCAACATACAGTTACGGATATGGCGAATGTCTCTTGAGATGAAATTATTATATCTGATCATCTCCATCTGTCTGTTTATCTAACTATCATCTGTCTGTCTGTCCATCCATCACCTACCTCAGTGATAGTGAACCTTTTTGTTGTGTGCCAAAAGTGCATGTGCGTGTGCTGGCACCCACAATGCAATGTGCCCAGACCCCCCTGTGCATGCGTGCACAACACCCCCGCCCCACCCCCTTACCTGCACTGTGCATGCGCGTACTTTCCAGCTGTTTTTTGACCCGTTTGAGGCTGTTTTCACTCTCACGGAAACTCGAGGGAAGCCTCTGTAGCCTCAGGAGGCCGAAAAACAGGCCCATTTCGGCACTTCCAATATTTCCAGAAGGCCCATTTTTTGGCCTCCAGAGGCTGCAGAGGCTTCCCTCGAGCCTCCGGGAGGGCGAAAATGGCTTCAAATAGGCCGAAAATCAGCTGGGAGTGCAGGTAAGTTTGCCACCCCTGGCTTCTGGAGATACGGATGAATGTTCTTCGTCTATACACGAGGACCCACGGAGGCCACCAGATCATCATCAGTGGGCTGTGCAAGTGACTACAGTTGTGGGAATGTGCGCTTGTGCATTTGAATGCCTTGTTCCCCATTCATAGGGCTGGTAGCACTTGCAATTAAGAGACAGAACTTGGCAGCAAGAAAGATCTGGGGTTATATTTATTTTCTTAAATACTTAAGTATTTTCATTCATACTGATCAACTGTACAAGTGAAAGTAGAAATAGCTAAATGGTGGCATGAGTCCCCTAAAACAGGTGGGCACTTTTTGCATTCCAGGAAGATGTTTGGGTCCTCCTAAAATCCCCAAGAATCTCTGAAACCAAGCGGCAAAATAGCAAATCCCAAGTATGCTGTTCTCTGTTCTTTTCACCTATTAAACTCAAGAAATCAAAGCTAAAGTTGGAAGGACCCAGGGCATACATTTCAACCTACTTTCTGCGGGTGTTACTACCCCTGCATCTCCTGTCTGTTATCCTTCTGGCGGCCTTCAGAAGCTTAAAAAAAAGCTAATATGTGACTGCAAAGTGGCAAAATTGACAATGAGGGGAGGCAGTCCCATTTTCAGGCAGGGGCTGGACACTCGTTTGTTGGGAACGGTCAAGCGTAAAGAAAGAGCTTGTGCAAAGCTTTCACACTTTCTCGTGGCTTACAGGCCATTCGCCCTTCAGTGACTTACTTTTTGGCAGCTTTCAATGAATTCATCGATGGTAACTACACCGTCTTTGTTCTTGTCCATTTTCTGCCAGAAATAAAAAAGGTTGCATAAGTGATTTGAAGCTCTTTTTCCCCAGATGCTTCTGGTCAGTTTTTTAAAGACTTATCCATGGATGCTACTAAAAGAGAATGGTTTGGTCCCACCGTTAGCTTCTGTTCTTGATTTTATTTTACTTTGTTTCCTTATTTTAGACATATTTGGAAGGTGGTACATGCAAGAAAAATCAAAGTCTAGCACGAGACTTGTCCTTTCCATTGAAGTAGCTTTAAAGTATTCATAAATTAAATGCCTCCTTGGACACAAGTAACTGATTCGTCATTACAAATAGCGTAATAATAGCAAATTTGATGACCATCAGAATTTCAAACCATCAAAGGGATCTTCCTGAGTTTTCCTTATAGGATTTAGGTAAATCCTACCTGGAAAAACGATTCCACATGTTGTTTTGGAGCATCCTCCCGAAGAACAGGGTACGTGCATTTCCCCATCATATCATAGATGGCCTTCATTATATCAAGCATTTCCTGGTGGGAAACATATTACACTGGTGAAAAACACGCATCGCGTTGATGGAAAATGTCTGACCCCTTTGGAGCTCTCTCAAAATCCTGCCATAAGATGACTTCACAGTTGTGATTCAAGTTCCCAAGTGTAGACGCTTGTTTTCAAGCAAATCAGTGACCTGTAAGGGTCAAGTGGATTTCTCTGGGTCTAACAGAACACAATGGATCCTGTTCTAATGATCGATGAACACAGTAACAAGAGTTGGAAGGGACCTTGGAGGTCTTCCTGTCACCTGAAAGACCGTATCTCTCCATCTCACTGGGGCCTTTCTATTGCTATCTTGAGAAATGATCAAGAGCTGACATGGGATAGGTTTCCTGCCTGAGCAGGGGGCTGGACTAGACAACCTCCAAGATCCCTTCCAACTCTGTTACACTGTTGCTCATAACAAAGAAGGTCGGGAAAGGCCCTTCTCAAGATCAGCCAATTCAGGGATTCGTTTTGAAAGCAGGAGGGTCCGTGCAATGTTAGCACAACCCATAAGGGCCAAATTTTGGAAAGCCACTCAGAGTCACCTTATAGGAGACATGGGAGCCCAAGAATCTCTAAATAAAATAAATCTTAGGAGTTTTAACTGTCAAACAAGATTGCTTAATTTACAGGTTTGCTCTAATGCAGTGATGGCTAACCTATGACACGCGTGTCACTCGTGACATGCCAAGGCACTTTGACTGACACGCCTGTTGGTGTGGGGAAAACCTGCACATTTAGAGGCTGCCTGTGCTCTGCTCCAATCCCTGCTCCCTGCTTGTTGCGTGGAGGCGTGGTGTCACCGCTGCCGCAAGATCTTTGCAGCAGAGAACCAGTTTTAACCGCCATAAACTGAGGTTTGTCAGTTTCATTACCTCAGGAACGCCACAGGAAGAAAGGAGATCCATGAGGTTCACAGCCCTGTAAGGTGGCCTTCCGATCCCCACATCCTGCACCTGCAGCCCTGAGACCAGGGAGACGAGTTTCACAGCCCTGTGTGATCACCCCAGCCCAGTCCGTCATAAACCAAATTATTGATATTTCTTGAAGTGACACACGACCTGAGGAAGGCTACACTTTTTCCTGATTTTCGACACACCAAGCTGAAAAGGTTAGCCATCATTGCTCTAATGGCTACCCCGTATATGCGTAAAATTAGCAACATACAAACCCAGGGCAACAGAAAGAAGTTACTCCCACTGAGGAATAGCTTTAATGCTTGATATTGTCTGTAAGGGCATGAGAAAGTAGGCAACAATCCCAATAACTGAGCAGAAAAGGGTTTTTTAAAAAATCAAATATCTAGATGGTATTGTTCCAGTATCATACACATCTTGTTCCACACTTCTGAATCCAGAGGTCATGATTTATCTATATGTGGGGGGGGGGGGAGTGTACAGTTAGCTTTGCCTTGGACTCCTTACCTCTTTTGTTATACAGCCGTCTTTGTTTATATCATACAAATTGAAAGCCCAGTTGAGTTTTTCCTGCACTGTCCCACGGAGCAAAATGGAAAGGCCCATAACGAAATCCTAGAAGGAGAAGAAGGAAACAACAACAAGAAGAAGAGACAATAGAAAACATGGCAGTCCTCATTGCTTTAGGTCCACATGGCAGGGAGAGCTGCACTGTAACAGCAGGAACCACAAAAGAAACCCAATTGCTTGATTGAGTGACATGTCTGTCGTGTGACATTTGAGCCTTCAGAACAGCCTTTGTTCCTTGGCTTGGTAGCTTCATGGAAGCAGAAGAACCTATGAAGATGGACAACCTCTTGCAAAACTCTCTGGAATCTTTAAAAACCCATTAATCCCTTGGGTCTTTCTTGCTGTCATAATCGGAAAACAAAAATGCTCCACTCCAATTGAACGGAAGTCAGAGTATATACTGTTTCTCTAGGGCAGGCCACTAGAAGAGAGCAAACCCCACTCCTTACTAGCACCAATGGTGTCTCTTAGTTTGAGTCATGAGAAAAGCAGAAAAAGAGAAGTGAGAGCCAGTTTAGTGGAAGCTCAAACATCAAGCTAGAAACAGGGAGAAGGTGAGTTCTAGTTTTGCCTTAGGCACAAAGCAGCTGGGTGACTTTGGACCAATCGCTCCGTCTCAGCTCTAGGAAGAAGTCAAGGACCAACCAGTTCTGAAAACTTGCCAGGGAAGCTGCAGTCATTAAGAGCCAACACGGACTGAAAGACATGCATGCATGCACACAAATCTCATAGGGTAACATCAATGCATCCAGCTTATTGGGGCCACACAGAAATCTAGGTTTAAAAAGGTACTTCACATTTTGTTAGAACAATCAACTAGTGGACAACTTGCCTCCAGAAGTTGTAAATGCTCCAACACTGGAAGTTTTTTAAGAAGAGATTGGATAACCATTTGTCTGAAATGCTATTGGGTTTCTGCCTGAACGGGGGTTGGACTAACTCTGTTATTCTATTTCTATTCTATTCATGAAACATCTTCAAGAAAACCACCAAGGACTCCCTAATTATCCTCCTCCTCCTCTTCCTCCTCCTCCTCCTATCTGCAAACCCCACTTCCTTGAAGCACAGATGATGATACCTAGTTGGGTCATGAAAGGTCTACAAGAAAACCAGCTCAGAGAGCACCAAGGACCCCTCATGTCAACCATGCCCTGCGAATATTCTCCTTTATGGGCATCTACCATTGATCACTCAACTCCACTGAGCAGTGAAACCAGTAGCTTTACAAACAGCACTCACTATCCCTAGCTATGGACCCAACCCAGCTCCCATTTCATGAAGAATTCTTTTTGTTCTTGTGTTATTGTTTTTGTGAAAGAAGAAGCCACTCCGGCTTTGCTTGCATTCATGTGGACCTGAGGGAAAGCAGAAACTTCGGCTGATGAGATGCCCTTTTTCTCTGTCCTCTTGCCTTAACACACACAGCAACCTCAATTAATTGACTTCAATTAATTCAGCCGTATAAACGTTTTGTGCCAGGAGGGCGGGAGCTTCTTCCTAGGAGGCAGCCCAGAAATCAAGGCAATCAACACATAAACAAGATCAGGAAGTTACTTGTCTGCTACACAGCAAACAAAAGCTAATTGCAAAGACCAAGTAAAAGGTCATTCTCTCCCGCTCTCTCTCTTTCTCTCCAGACTCCACTGATTTCTTAAAAGCAAATTTTATTGCAGACGCAGTTTGTATTAAGCCCAGGCGGTGATCCAGACTGGTGAGACTGAATGTGATTTAGAGCATGGGTGGTCCTGCGCCTAGTGCCTTCCCAGGAGCTCCTCAACCGAGGCCACGCCAACAGTGAGGAGATCAAAGCTAATCAAAGGCATAGCTGTCGACCCTACCTGTAATTTACATTATTAATTATTCTTCCTCTCTTCGGATGATTTAAGCACGGCCTTGTCCTTTAGTGAACACTGAAATCACTGGCATAACTCAGTTGCCTATGAATACATCAAACTATATTGTGAAAGGTAACATCCCATTAATTTAAAGGTTACTGCTTTGTAGGTATTTTAAATATTCTTCTTTGGGGGGATGAGGAATGAAAAATGTGAGCCGCAGAGATAGAAATAATCTAGCCAGACGGACAAGAGCACTTGTTCTGTGCTTCTTAAAGAAAAAGCAGAATGTTACATAATAAATAGACCTGACTAAGATATACTTTATCCATGCTGAGGATTTTTTTCAGTCACGTTGAGTTAAGTGAAGAGATCCAGTGAGTATTTAAAACTGTTATTCCAGGCAGCGGGCTATCACTGCAGGAATTACCCAGAATGGCAGATAACGATGGAGAATTGGAATTGTTAGCATATTATCAAAATCCCTTCGGTGGCTCACCTGTCTCATCTTTAAATACATATGAACTACTTCATGAATAAATAAATAAAGGCATATTTAATCATTTGCAGACTACTCCGTTTCTACATTCATAAAAAAAGTTCAAGCAATGAATGTGCAAATACTGACAAAGACCTCGTTCAAATGCTTTACTAACTTTTGAAGGCTGTCCATCTTGATCATAACATTCCTCAGTATATATATATCTTTTCCCCCAGGTTTTTAAGGCAGCTTTCCCAATGTTCATCCCTAATTTTATTTCCATAGCAGCCCTCCTCTGGGTCATTATGCCAGAGTCTCCGAGTGTGTGTGTATCACTTATAAATAATATATAAATGCATAAATTAAGGTGTGCAGAGGACATGACAATTCCAGGCTCATCAAGGCAGCTTCCATAGCTGATGGTAGAATTGAACTTGTTCTCTTGGGTCTTGGTCCAATAACTTAACTACTCCACTTCCCTGTGTTTACTATAGTGGTTTAAATCAGCAGTTTGCATGTAAAAAAAAACCCAAAAACTTGGCTTATAAATATATTTGGTTGCCTCCATGATTCTCCAGACCAGGAAGCTGGCTGGGGAATTCTGGGAATTGAAGTGCACCAGGCTTAAAGTTGCCAAGGTTGGAGACCCCTGCTCCAGACCATATACTTGGGAAACATCTCACTGTCTGCACAACATTAGTAAAAACATTAATTAATCTCTTCTTCCTAGTGAAGTATTTAGAATTGGAGAAGACCAAAAAGTTTTTCAATGAGTATAACCCTTAATTGCCCAGGAGAAACAATTTCCTTTCATTTAGCTCTTAAAACAAGAAGGAATTTACAGAGGAAAGATGTTAATTGGGAGATAATGAAAGCTGAAACTTAAATACCTGATTGATTAAAATCAGGCCCTCTTCTCCTCCACTAATTGAATGTTTTCTGATTATATTAAAAAAAAAATTTCCATCACTCTTCCGTTGAGGGAATATTGGTCAGAGAAGGGATTAAAGGAGGAGGTTGACTAGATAGAGGGAATGAGGTGTGGAGAACTAGAAAACCAGGACTTGCATTTTCCCAAATATTATGTTATTTAATAATAATACTAATAGTAAGAATTTGGTTGACCCAGTATATCTGTTTATGAGCAATATGGAGTATATAAACTTTTAACAAGATTTTGGACTGCATTATAGAACAGAAATAAATAATTTTAAAAAACAGCCTTACCTCAAAACTCACACATCCATTGTGATCTGTGTCAAATGCATTGAACAGAAAATGTGCATACGTTGTAGAATCTGGAATTAAAAAGATTGATCCTTATTAATTGCATATTAAAACTTAACACTTGGAATGACAACTTGCTATCTTTTCTTTACCTCTATTAAGTATTCTTATTAATGGGGGAGGGAGGTTAAGCCATTATTTGATTATTGTCAAGCAATTACTTATAAAAAGTTAACATCCTTCTTATACTTTGCAAGATCCCAATCACAGATAACACAGATGGTGTTAAAAACCCAGTTATTATTTATGGAAATGGGAAATTAACTAAATTACACAGTAGAGTCTCCATTTATATTAGAGAATAGAAACCAAGTCCCATCAATGGGGTGATTGGAACAAACCACATATGGGTGCATTTGCACATGTTATTCTGTGCTTCATATCTACCATTCCAGGTTTGTTATTTCAGGATTCAAATTCGGAAGGATGACAATGCCACTGTCATTTTTAAAGCACATCATTGTTTGAAGACCCATCAAATTATTACAAGAAGTGCCATTCAGGGCCTAGACAAGAGACATTGCTCCCAATTAGCTAAATTTAAAAATGATTACATTTCCCATTGAATTCAGTCAAATTTAAGACTCTTGTTGGCTCAGTCAAACTTCCTTTCTACCTAGCTACCAAAATGCCGCCACTCCAAATTGCTTTCTGAAACTTATATGGGCAACTTTTGAGCTCCTTCCTAACCTTCATCAAGATTTTATCATGTTTTAGATAGAACATAGACTAATACAGTTGGAAGGGACCTCAGAGGTCATCTAGTCTAACCCATGCTCGAGCAGGAGACCCTATACCATTTCTGACAGATGGCAGTCCAATCTCTTCTTGAAAGCTTCCAGTGAAGAAGCTCCCACAACTTCCGAAGGCAACTTCTGTTCCACTGGTTGATTGTTCTCCCTGTCAGAAAATTTCTCCTTATTTCCTGGTTGAATCTCTCCTTGTTCAGTTTCCATCCATTGTTCCTTGTCTGGCCTTCAATTGCCTTGGAAAATAGCTTGACACACACACCCCTTCCACTCTGGGGCAGCCCCTCCAATACTGAAAGGCTGCTCTCCTGTCTCCCCCATCCTTTTCTTCCCTAGAGTGCCAGACCCTGTTCCTGCAACCGTTCATCACAGGTTTGAGCTTCCAACTGTTGCCCTTCTCTGCGCTCTTTCTAGAGAGTCTCAACACCTTTTTTTTGTATTGTAGTGACCAGAACTGGTTGTGGTATTGCAAGTGTGGCCTTACTAAGGCTTTGTAAAGCAATACCAAGACTTCACATGATCGTGTGAATCTAGTCCATTCAGTAACCATTTCCAAGACACAACCGCACTGAGAAAAGTGACTTATGACCATTTTCACACTTTATGACCATTGTGGCATCCCTACAACTGTAGGGATTCACTGAACGACGGTGGCAAGAAAGGTTGTAAAATGGGGCAGAACTCACTGGGGCAAATGCCTTTCTTAGCAGCACAAATTTGTTGCTCGATGGTGGTCGTAAGTCGAGGACCCACCAGTGCCAGTTTGGCCATTAAACAGGATCCTGTGTTTTGCCCCAGATGCACTTCCCAAGGGCTCTGCAGAGGAAGCTCCAAGAAGGAATCGAAGCTCGTGCGTGGATCCTGGTGGCCTGGGGCTCACCTGGCGCATCAGTCCCACTTGAGCCACGCCCCTTTCTCCAGCTACCCCTCCGCCTGCCCATCTAAGCCCCAGATCTGGGGGTCCACCTTTGAGAGTCCAACACTTCCCTAGCTGGGCTGTGGATATTGGACGCTGACTTTCTCTCTCCTACGTTCATCTGATCTCCAATGAAAACAAGATATTAAAATGCATTTTAATGGTACTGGTCAGGCTGCTCTCTCTAAGCCACTAACAAAAATAAACTCAACCAGATCCTTCATACTTTCATGCATTCTCTTCCCTCAGTAGATCAGATGGTCTCACAGCCTTTACTCAGCAAAACAGCCAAGAAAAAAAAGAAAGATAATTGCAATTAAAATCAGGCTGATGCAGGATGTTCTTCAGCTTTTAATGAGTCCTATTTAATATGGTTTCCCCTTACGACGCTACAATATAAGCTGGAAAACATGGGGTAGATCGTGAAATGCAACCCTCCTCATTCTTAATGATAGCAATGCTGGAGCCGTTGGATTTCACCTTTCCATTTGATGGAATCGATTTCTGAATCGCATTTATGACTCACATTTAATGCTCCCATCAGGCTGAATGCCCCGTCATTCATGCCAAAGCCGTTGTGCGCTTTTTATCTGACTCCAACCGGCTTAATGGTCTGAATCCGAGTGATTGGAGCTGATTTGCATTTGCACAATTAAAATTCTGCAAAAGGGGAAAGGAATAAACAGCCTCGGGGCCTTAACGAGGTTCAGACCAAGCAAACCAAACTGCTAACTGTTTTTACAATATTTATTAGCGTCTACATTTAACCACCCAGACGGTAGTGTAGAAGGCAGTGGACACCTGAGCAGGATAAACAACTGGCAAATAAGGAAAAGAATTAGAGAACAGAGGATAAAACCATCGGCCACTAAGTTGCCGCCTTGCTTTGGAGGTTTTTGGAGAACCTCAAGACGGGGAGAAATAGAGTTGATATTGTAAAGCTATACCCTAGTCTTGGAATTTTAGGCAAAAGGAAGGTATCAAAATTATTTCGGCGGCATTATTGTCCCTCCATACGTGTGTGTTGTGGTTTGCCGGCCGCTGGTGCAGCCAGCAGTGGAATCGGACAGTGGGAAAGAATGGGCACCAGTCCGGTAGTCTGGAGAAGACTCAGATGAGGGTCCTGCATCTGATGCAGAGATGGGGCCAGGACCATCTGGGAGTGGGGTGCTGCCTTTGGAGCCTTAGGAGTCTGGCAGCAGCGAGGCAGAGGAACCAGGGGAGCCTGTTCCCAGCGTGCGTGTGCGCAGAGCTGCTAGAAGGCGAGAGCAGCTGAAGCAGAAGGGGTGACTCGAAAGTAAGGCTGGGAGGTGATTGCCCCTCCCATAAGGGATAAGGGACAGGCCAAGATGACAAAACCTTTGCAGGAAGAAAAGTCGTTCGATCGGTTCAGATTCATTCTTGAAGCTCTTTGTACTTCGGTTGGTTTTCTTTCTAGTTCATTTGACACTTCTGTTATTGGCAGCACTTCACAGAACTGAAACGTGGGTGCATATCTCGAGGGACCGTTTGAGATTAATTACTGGCTGGGAATGAAAACAATTCCCAGCGTTGCAATAAAACAAGACTTGTTTTTAAAAGAAGCCTGTGCATAATTATGGTCTCAGAAACCTTGATCAGAACCAGGGGTGGGATACGACAGGGTTTACTTCTGGTTCGGGATTTATGAGCTTCCCTGCACACTGTGAGCCACGCGCCTGTAAATCGTCATCAGCAGCTGCCTGCAGAGAAGCAGCCTTTGAAACAGCCCTTTTTTCCTGCTTTTTAAACTGCAGCTGTGCCTCATTCTGCAGCTGAAGTTGAAAAATCAGGAAATAAAGATCAGGTAAGAGCCCAGGTGGGCATGTGGGCAAAAACATCAGCAGACATAGAACCGGTTCTATGTCTGCTGCTCTTCAGAGCTACCGGTTCT